AAAACGTGCCCGCGCTGTTTTTCACTTTCTTTCTCTCTCTCTTTATCTCTGTCTCCTCGCTATTTCTCTCAGTTCTACTTCCTTTCTCTTTCGTTCTTAACCGCGATCAACGCCGGTACAACACTCGTCGCGGTGTTATTTCTTTCGATCCGTGTCTAAGAAAAAAAAAAAGAAAAAAAGAAAAAGAAAAAAAAGAAAGAGAAAAAGGATTGTGCATCGAGTTTTCGTGTGCAAACGGAACGGTGGATAATCGTGAGACAGAGCGTGTCAAGTGCGAGGAAACCAGGGTTTACGTACCCTGAGAAGAAAGGAAGGAAGAAAGGAAGGAAGGAAGGAAGGAAGGAAGGAAGGAAGGAAGGAAGAAAAGGTGGTGTAGCCAAGGACGTTTGTGTTTGAGTTTCGCGTGACCAACGAAAGAGAGGGAGATTACTGGCGCGTTTCGAACACGCGTGGTTCCGCGTGTTACGGGACTCGGCGATACGTTTTCCGGCAACAACCCGTTGAATCCGTGATTTCGCCAGTAAGAAGATCTATTTTGAGGAAGAGTGCACGGCGTGCCGATGCCGAAAGGATTCGTCGACAGGATCGACTGGAACAATTTTACGAGAATTTCGAAGAACACCACGACGTTGACAGTGACAACGATGTCACCGTTTGGGACGGAGGAGCGATAAATTTTGGAAGGAACGCGGGAAAAATATAACAGGATTCTGCATGCGAGAAGTGTTCGAGCTCCTCGGTGGAGTGCTGACCTCCGAAGACGTATTCCGGAAGGATTCGTCTAGCCCTACGACAACGCAGACAGGTCGGTGATGCACGTGTGTCATCCACTTGTTTTCATTGTGTTGTGGGTGAGTTATGTGTGTGCGGCTTTCGATTCACGGATCACGTTATAGACCAGTAGTACCTGTTCTCTCGCTCTCTCTCTCTCTCTTTCTCTCTCTCTCTCTCTTGTCCTGTCGATTGTCGTTTTCATCCACGCAGATAATGATACAGTCGAGGAATTCCACGTTGGCTGATAAATTCACCGCGCTTACGAGCCGTGCTTACGAGAATTATCGACTGTGAATTATCCCCTTTCACTCTCATACCCCGTCGCTCATCATCGTTTTACATACATCGTTCACTTTACACACGCTTCTCGCGTACGCTTTTGCTTCACGACTGTTGCTCCGACTGTTGCGTCCAAATCGTCGAGAGAGGCGTAAATCGTAAGCATTCAGAAGAAATCTATCTTTCTTACGAGATTATCGCGCCCAATGGAATAAGAATAACACGCTTCGATCATCCATCGTCATCGATGTGATATCATCGGGATCATCATCTGCTCGATTCTCCGCGCTCGATCCCCGCCCGAGTATTTTCGAGGAGGCGCGGGATCAGCTGTTGTCGCGTCGAAACCACGTGTAACTTTTCCAACTCGCTTTTCCACGTTCAACCACGTTCCGATCGTGTACGTGCGCGCTTGCGCAAGCCGTGTATACAGAAACGAGAGGATCCGAAGTGACGAGGAAGGAAGAAAAAAAGGAAGGAAGGAAGGAAGGAAGGAGGAGGCAAAGAGAAGTAAAAAAAAAAAAAAGAAAATAAAGAAAAGTGCGAGAGATCGTTCGCGATAGGATGATTGCGGTCGTCGAGATGATCGATCGTCGTCCGCGCGGCGGGAACGTTTGAAAAGGGAGAAAGAAAAGAAGAGGGAGAGGGACACAAGATCGAGGGACGGGATCCCCGGTGTATCCGACTGGATTTGGTGAATGAAACGGGTAAAAACGAGGCGCCATAGTGCTGCTGATCGTACGTGCGATGCGTACCGTGGAGGATACAGCCACGGAAGCAGCCGCAGTTGGTGCTGCGACCACTCACCAGCGTGCTACCACCGGCAGGCATCTGGTCGTCGATCAAAATCACGATCGCGATCACGATCAACGAGATCGATCGACGACGATCCATCTACCCACTACACCGTACCACCCGGTCACCATTGCGGCGGACACCAACAACAATCATGACCATCATCGCAACTTCGAGCATCACGCGGCGCAACGCCACGATCACTGGAACAAGTGTAAGTCATCTAGTAAAAAAAAAAAAAAAAAAAAAAAAGAGGAGGGAAAAACGTGAAACAAAGACCTTGAGACAGTCCTGTTTATAGTTTAACCATTGTGTAAAAAAAAAAAAATTGTACAATGCTCGCTGATGGCTGGCAGGTTGTGGTTAAAAGGTGGTGGTGGTGGTGATGGTGGTGGTGACGGTTGGATGATTGACAATGATTATCGATCGAGGAGATGGATCGACGTGTTCCGTTTTATTTTCACGAAGCAATCGACGTTCGCGTTGCTTTGTTTTTGCGTTTTCTCGATTCGATCGAACTCGTCTTTTCGATTCGATTTTTCGTTCTTTCCATCGGGGGAAGGATAGATTCGACCTTTAGACCTTTAGACCTTTAAACCTGATCGATGAATCGATCGGAGATCTAAATACAATGGCGTACGTGCAACGAATTCGCGCATGTGTATATCTATACTGCTGCTATTCGGAAAACGAAAAAGGTTAATGGGGATGGCATTAAAGACGAAGGAACGAAAGCGAAACGGAGATGAGGTGCGAACGATAGAGCGAAGGGACGAATTACCCCCTCTAACCGTTTCTTCTCAGCCAATCGATTCGAGCTGCGAAAAGGATCTAGAGGTTACAGCGCGCCTATTGGTCGTTAACTTTCCTTCAACGAAATCACTTCAGATCGATTCTTTTCTAAGAAGAAAAAGTTTCAACAACTTTCATTCACTTTATATATACATATATATATATATACTTTTGTACATCGTTTCCATCGGTTTCCATTTCGAAAAGAATCACCACCATCATCGTCGTTTTTTTTTCTTTTTTTCTTTTTCTTTTTCTTTTTTTTTTTTTTTGCCGTGCATCCTCAATAATATTTGGATCCAACGAGGAGATTTTTGAAATTTCGAGTACGGACACGACGCTCGATCGAGGAGCGAGGTTTGTGCGTTCGATGGGACACTTTACAGGTGTAATCAGCACGTTAAGGTAAATATAGTCTGGCAGTCGGCCGAGTGCAAGGCAGGCGTTTCTTTTCCGCGTACATACTTGGCCCGCACGAGACCTGTCCGCGCAGGAAAGAAGAGAGTACGCGAACGAACAAATATAACCGGCGCGTAGAACGCGAGTGCAGGTGCGGTCGCTGGTTCGGTTGCATTGTGCCGAGTTGTGCCCGGTGGCTGCGCAGTCGAATTGCGAAAACCGATTGTCAGGTTCGCCGAGAGTAACGACCGTGACAATGGTAAATCAACGCTTATGACTTCCGCGCGTTAAATGCTGCTCTCCTGTGCCGCGGCACCGACTTCGAACTCCGCCGTTGAGATATCGATGGACGATCGATTGTCAGCCTGACCGTTATACGTGGGCATGTAATTGCGATGTATATGCAAGGTTCGCGGGGGCGGATGGAAAGAAAAAAAAAAAAAAAAAGAAAAAAAGAAAATGAAGGTGGCTGTAAATCGAGGGGAGTAAAAGTTCGACTAAAAGTAAAACGCATCGAGATCTAATCGATCGAAGTGACGAATCCTTCTTGTTCCGCCTTCTCTCTCTCTCTCTCTCTCTTTCTCTTTCTCTTTCTCTTTCTCACAAGACACAAAGAGAATACCCATCTCGAGAATACTTTGTCCGTGGAAAATGATTGGTTTACGGATAGCCGGTGACACGTGGCACGAGAATGTATTACGTTAATAGACCTTCGGAATAACGCGATGGTCGCCGTTTCACGGCACAAGTAGTTAGCCGCAATCAGACTCAGACATTAGCGAGACGTGCATCGTCGGCCGTCTGAGCTGGCACGTCCGTAACTACTTAATTCTTTTTAAACGCGCTCGGCGAACGCGTGTCAGTCTTTCCACGATATCCCATCCTATATATAATCGACGATGAAATCTTCGCTCGATTACAAAAACCTGTAAAAGCGTATACGCAATTTATTTTATTACGAATAATTATCATATCGATGCAACTTTTCGATCGAAGGAATAATATTCGACGATTTAATACGACGGTAATACCATCCCATTAAAGCCCATTGAAAATGCACGTACGTATACGTTCGAATTCGAAAACGTGGATTAACGAAAATATCTTGGTATCGTGCGTGGATTTCTCGGAAACTCGATAGAATTCTTACATTCTGACCTACGATCTACGTAGAATAATCCGCGTGTCCGATTTAACGACAGGGGCGAGTATACGGAAAGTGAAGCTTAACGATTCGAGTCGATCGTCAAAATGGTTAAATGACGAAGTGAAAATAATCGAGATTGTTCGTAGAATCGTAAAATTGGATAGTATTTTGACGGCGAGTGCCCGTGGAACGGACAGCGCTTCCTAGAGGCCAATTGCATTGTTTTACTGGGCAAACTAAATATACGTGCGAGGCAGGCGATCCGCGGCTGCTTGGCCGGGACACAAAGGCGACCAAAGAGACGACGAGGACTCCGTGCGTCACGTGCCGTTACACTTTTCACGTTTTCCCCGTGTTGGAACGATGAACGGAGAACGGACGATTCACCGCCGCGCAACACGTCTAACACGACCTCTCCGCGTCTCCGCCAATGTAAATTTTAAGGCTACACGCGTTTTCAACACCATCTTCGAAATCGTGAATCATCCTGTCGTTTAAAATGTGCGCGGCGTTGCACGACGATCGTACAACGCGTGAACTACAAACATGGACGGATTTACACGAGGACACGTTCACGTTCGTTTCATTCAGAACACCTCGCTGTTTTCTTTTTTTCTTTCTTTTCTTCTTCTTCTTCTTCTTCTTCTTCTTCTCGCCTTTCTCTTCACGAGTTTTCTCTTAACGAGCGTACGATTTCAGGTCTCGCGAAAAGAAAATAAGGGGGGAAGGGAGGGAATGGCGAGACGCACGCGTGGAATCGCGAGGAGGAATCGCGACGACAGGTTGGCCGAGATTGAAACGAGGCTCACGATTGCGGGTTTGCGTTTTTCATGAGACTGCGGTTACGCGTGGGCGGGGAATAGGCTGTTGTTTCCGGGGCGAGACACGCGATCGGGAAGCGAGCTTAGCTTGGTTCAGGGGGCAGCGAAGGAGCGAGGGTTGAAAAGGCGCTGGGCTGGTGGACGGAGGCGACGATTCATATTGCATAAATGTTACGCCGCCTGTTCAATTATGTAACGGTTCCTGACTCGGCGCGACTCCTCGCCGCGAAAACTTTCATCGAGCGTGCAAGGAACGCTGGTTTTCATTGGGGAAGAAAGGGGAAGAAGCTGTACGGTGATAATTATAATTAATCGAAACCGATACCGAAGTCGATAAACGTTGATCGAGCAGCTCGTGGTAATTTAACGTTGCGTAACGTCCAATTATACGCTCATCACGAGCATACGATGGATGGAAACGCGAGACGGAAAACTCGAGGAGAGGGGGAATCAAGCGTATAAAATCGAACGATCCGCAGAAAATATCTATCGACACGCGTGCGTTATATCTACTTTGCATTTGCGTTTCTCCTCGCGTTCTACTTGGGGGCCAGTGGAGCTCGATCCCGAGCCGATGCAAAACGTGTTCTTTCTCTCCGGGAGAAAGAGAGAGATTACTCGGGCCGGGCCGAGTAATGGGATTGTGTGACTGTGCGTAACGATAAGTCTCAGAATCGATAAGTGACGTTGACGCGTATGAACCCGCGTGCCAACAGTGAAAGGGTCAGTAGTCGGACAGTGGGCGCTATAAATATCGGGAGGACTCGATTCGTCGTGTTTTAGCACGGTTGATCAACGACGGATCGATAGAGATCGGGGCGTCGCTTCGAAGTCCTAAACAGGGGCACAAAAAGAAAAAAAAAAAAAAAGAAAGAGGCTCGGAGGTTGACAGGCTTGGCGGAGAAAATGAAAAGAAAGGAAGAAACGGGTAATCGAGGAGTCGTATGCGACGTACGCAACGAGTCGGTCGGTTTGACGAGGCTGCTGCTGTCGGCCGCATGCCCGACAAGTTTATGGTAATTCGGGCGAACCGAGTAAAAATGTGTAACGCGATCGGCTGACGCGCGGCCTTGTTTCACCTGAAATAGATTTCACCGCGCGGAAACGTATTCCGCGCGAGTTTTGACGCCGTTTCGAACGCCAGCCTATAATTTCTCTCCTCGCTCG